TTTTGGCTTTCCTTGACCTCTTCTTAATCTCTCTGATTTCTGTCTTCATCTTCATATGTGTTTCCTGAGTACATGTCTGTGTCCAAATTTCCCCTATGAATAAAGGCACACTAAATTAGGGAGCCACCTAATCTTGTGTGATTTCTGTTATTGCTCTGAAATGATCACTTTTTCCAATAAGATTATGTTTGAGACGTTGAAGGTTAGGATATCAACATATACATTTTTGGAGGGGACAGTTCACCCCATAAAATTGCATTTGTGTTATTATAAACCACTGTGTTTGTGGTAACTTGCTACATGTAAAGTAGGAAAAAATGAAATGCAAAAAGACTATGAAGAAATATCAAAAGTTTACTGTTTAAGGATGCCCTTTGTCTGCAAAACAATTGTGGGGACAGTTCACTATTCTAATCCAAGTGAAGCATCATGTAGAGTACAAGGTATTAATATAGTTGGCTCCTTTTTAAGAACAAGGAATGTTATTACCTTGCACTTAAGCAATATAAAGCCACAACATTGAGTACACTTACTCTGAAGGCCTCCCCAAAATTAATTGCCAGTTTTTTGGATTTTCTTTAAAATTTTTGGGCTTTCTGTTCTTGCAAGCAAAGAAGAGGTGCTGCTGTAGTTCATATTTCAGTTGTTCCTAAAGGCCTTTATGGCAAAATCTTGGTCATGCATAGTGCTATTGGGAGTTGGCAGAAACTTTAATAAATGTTTATTATTTAGTGGAAGGTCTTAAGGCCATTTCGGAATGTATCTTTGAAGGGGATTATGGAGTCCCTATCTCTTCTTCCTTTCATTTTCTGGTCCTGGGGTGAGTGCAATTGTTTTGCCATGTACTTCGCCATGATTTGTTGACCTGACACAGGCCAAAGTTATGGGACCAATTAATCTGGGACTAAAACCTCCAACTCAATAACCCCAAATGAATTTATCTTCATGAGTTGATTGTTTCATGTATTTGTTGTAGTGACAGAAATCTGAGTAGCAGAAAACTGGTACCAAGAAGTGGGAACATTGCTGTGATTTTACCTGATGATATGGAAAAGGCTTTGGAACTGGTTTACCAAAGGAATCTGAAAGAGTTTGGAAGAGCAAACAGGAGTTTAGAATGTGCTAAGTTTAGCAGGTGATTCTAGTGAGGGGTCAGAAGATCAGAATGCTGACAGCAATGCAGACAGTAAAGGCTGTGCTGAAGATGCTTTAGATGAAGTTGACGATTCTTTTAAAAATTATATTAGTAGTCACCCTTGCTCCACTATGGCAGAGTTTGATCATACACATTTATCCATTCCCTGAGACATCATGTAAAGCTAAGTTTAAAGGTCCTGGGCTTGTTTAACTGGTAAAGAAAATCTTGAGGCAATGCAGATTGAGGCATTGGTGTGGATATTACCAGCTACATCTAGCCAGATTTACTGTGAGGCTTAGGAGCAAAAACAAGTGCAGCCGACAGATTTGCAAAATATTTATGAGCTTGTCGATGTTTTCATATGCAGAACACATACACTTAGGAACATACATATGCATCTCTACTTTTCTTGGAAATGAGTCATATGGCTTCATCTTCATCTGAATCTCCTGTATGTATCTTGAAACACTCTGCTCTATGTCATGCCCCAAGTCATATGTAGACTAGAAATTTGACAGTGCTTTTCAGCCAATCTAAATTTGTCGTTTCCTTTTACTTTTGATATGAATAATACTACCATTAATTCCCAAGTAGAAGAAGCCAGAAATATAGGATTTTATCTTATTCCATCTTTTTCCATTTTGTGCTGTAGTGTACTGCTAAAAAGTTGCAATTTTGAGCTCAAATGTGTGGATTCAAATCTTGACTCTTCTATTGAAAATCCATAGGATTTTGGATAAGGCAAGGTAATCTCTCTGGGCTTTTGTTTCCTCAAGCAGAGGTAAGAATAGCAACCACAGGTTGTACATTTTTGTCGCGAGCCGGATTGCCTTGGGCAACCCGGTCTGCGACTACAGGGGCCTGAACTGGTGACGCATGAGCAAAGAGGCACACACTTGATACACAAGGAGTTTACTTTAGTTCCTCATCTCCGGATCTCTACCCCGCTCTCTCTCCCAGAAGGGGTGGCAACATATATACCATAATGCAACCAATCAGCATACAGAGAACAGATTATTACCTTATAAGGATACATCAAACACCCACGGGAACATATCATGTGATCTATAGGAAAACTAAACCTAATACAAAATGGCTTCATAGACTATATCATAAAATGGCGGAGGGGCAGATCTATGGTTCTCCACAATTTTCAAGGTAGATAATTCATACAAAGCCTAAGAACTGAACTTGAGTACATGTAAATACATAAGAAGAGAGAGAAGTATGTTTCATTCATATATATATACATATATGTACATATATGTATATATATGTGTTTATATATGTATATGTGTGTATGTATGTATATATATGTATATATACACACATATGTATATATATACATATATATATACATATATATACATATATATGATAGCCACCCATAGATATAAAACCAAAACATCTACTGAATTAACATGTTATTTAAATTCAAGTGTTGTTCACTTAGGAGCCAAACATTTAGCAATCAAAGATGTTCTGCTTTTTTGACAGTAACTAGGAATACATACCAAGGAGAATTTTAAAAAGACATCTGAAACAGAACATCTTAACTGTCACATTAAAAGAAAGATACATTGTTGTTGTGGTGCCCTGGGTTGTTTCTGTGAACAGGTAGCTCTATGTTAGCTTGTGACATTGTATGTACTACTTTCTGCTCTTGAGTTTAATATATATGACCTTGCACATTTTTTTGGTGCTCTGAAATGAACACATTCTAAACCTCCATTTTTCCATAAATAAATAAATAAATAAATAAATAAATAAATAAATAAATGAAAGACAATCAGAGACAGAGATTATCTGCAGTTCCTTTTCTTTTCCTTTTTATATGCAGATCAGAAGGGAATATATTTGGTTTACCAGGAAATGTTCTGCTTGCTATGGAGAGCACTGTAAATTCTTAAAAAAAAAAAACCAAGCTTTATTCATTTTCCTAGTGCCTTCTTATCTAACACCTTAACAAGTTCTCCATGCTTATTTAACAAAGCTGTGTGCTGTTGTGAAGTTAAAAAGTCTCATGACTGACACTTACTTTTATTATTAATATTATGTAAATATTTCTAATTACTCTTCTTTTTCTCACTCAGATCTTCAATAAATATGAGTTGTGATTGTTGATAGAGTATTCAGTTGGGGTAATATTTAACAAACAGCAGGAAAATAGGCATCTCTGGAATGTCTTAGTATAATGTACTATTACATCTAGAATATCTCCACTGTACTGGCACAAAAGTAGCAAGAGAAACATTTCCTATAGTATGCCGGTACTACAAATTCGCTGCTGAGCCACACAGGCAAGACACATGTTTGCCACCACCATCACAACTCTTTTACTGAATAACTATTCTTTGGAATTTTGTAAATTTCACAATGCTTTTTGATTGTTTAGTATCTCTTACCAAGACTTGCTTCATTAAAGTGTTTTGGATTTTGAAATGATCTAGTCTTTCTGTTAAACTTGTACATCCAGAATTTCTTATTCCATGATTGTAATAGACAATGATGAGATAAACTTTGATTCTTTGGTTTTTCTTCGGTGAACTGCTTTTGGATTCTACAAAAACATTTATTTTATTGAAAATAGAAACAAAGCCAAAGACAAAAGTAGAAGTCAAAAGAGAAAACAAGTAACAATCTTTACTGATATTCTGGATATACCAGTTATTATTTTGGGATATTTTATTTTAAGCCTAAGTTGTATAATGTACAGAATATTGTTTTTTTATCTAATTTTGTAGCATTTGAAATTTATTGTGTTGTCTAAAATACCATCTTAAATTTCATATTCATGTTTGCTTAATAGTGCACCAAAAGGCATATTCCTCTTGAATTTAATATGTCTGATAATTCAAAGATTTAATTTTTTTACATCTTCATTAGAAATAATTTGCTAGTAATGTAACACAAACAGCTGCACTCTCACTCTACTGTCCATTTTATGCTGTCCAGTATAACATCTTCCATTTGACTGCATAGATTGCAGATCCTTTGGGACTGTTATATTATATGTTGGGGTGTTTTCCACCAATATTGAGGTATTATATATGTTTGCGATACATAACAATTACATTCATCTTACAGAATTGATACAAGTACAGATTGCATCTTGGCCAATTTTACTCCCCCTTTCTGCTGTCCCCTCTCTGTGGAGAGGGAAGAGGCTGTGGAAAAGGAAAACATTTTTCATATGTTGCAATTTTACCATCTGGGGAGTTAAGAGTCCATGGCATTATTTTTCTAAGTGCTTTGGTTTTCAAATACAATTTTAGGGAACATTGGTTTCTTAAAAGTTTCATGTTTGCAAATTTTTTCATATCATGTTCATGATTTTTATTGTAATAAAAAACACAAGACGTAAAATTTATCTCCTATTTTGAAGTGTGTGGTACAATAGTGTTAAATATGTGAACACTGTTGTACGCTAGACCGCATTTAAAAACAAATCCATGGTAGTAGGTGTGAATGAGACAATTTGAGGAGCCCCAAGGGTCCAGCTTTCCACCTACAATGCGTCTGCTTCTTTCCTCATTGTGTAAAGTAGATGAAGTGCGCCATGTGATTCATGCCCTTGCTGACATTCTGCATCACTCACTCTATGGCTCTTTATAGTTTGTGAAGATGGTCTTGCATCCCACCTGCTGTTATGAAAACAGATTCAGACAAATGCAAAGCCAACTGTGCTTATGGGCACTCAGCGATACTGACCCAACCACAAGACTCTCACTGTGGCTCTTGCTTTGTCTCTCTGCTGTTTCATTTATGTGTGCACACCTCTCTCCCCACTAAAAAATAGTGTAGACAGGAAGGTGACAAGTCTTCTCTTTTGATCCTGCCATGGGTACTTTTTTCCCTACAGACTGCAGGAGTAGAAGACAGCCTCAAAAGTCTGCATCAGAATCTCAAAAGAGAAGTTCTGCTCGATACAGCTATCCTGGCAAGAAAGATATGGACTTAAATGATTCCATAAGTGGGTATGTATAGAAATATTTATTTAGGATGTTTAATTTAGATTTATTTAAAATATTTCCTTTGAGCTTTGAAAATGTATCACTGTTGCTTTATTTATACATAAACTAAACTACATTCAAGGGAGCAAGCACAAGTTTATTATACATTTGGGTTCCATTTTATTCATATCCAGGCCATAGTCGGCAAAGAGTTTTTCTCAATAGAGTGAAAACTGCACAACATACACATTTTTGACTACTGACATGACATCATCGGTAATCTGATTAATTAATTAATTAATTCTGAAAATCTGAAACAGCATATTGTTTTTAAGAAATAAAGAGTTTTTCTCAATAGAGTGAAAACTGCACAACATACACATTTTTGACTACTGACATGACACCATCGGTAATCTGATTAATTAATTAATTAATTCTGAAAATAAACAGCATATTGTTTTTAAGAACGCTGATGCTTTTTATCAAGTTAATTTGATCATTTTTAATTTATGAGCACTTTATTGGCAGCCAGACATAATTTAAGACCAATATATAATATTCTTTACTCTTAGAAAGCTGAAAAATGTTAGTCTTGCCCCTTGGAAATCTCTTAGGACTTCTGCTATGAAAGTTATACACTGGCTTCATATGGTATATAATTACTTCTTTACAAAATTTCTCCTCCTCATTGATTGGAAGCTTCTATAAACAGAGCTAGTACTGGTACCATCTGAACTGATATATCAAATAGTTCCTTTTCATTCATTATGAATGAAAAGTGAACATTCATTATGCATCTGTAACTATGTATTTAAATTAGCAAATGCGACATTACAACTCACAGCCCATGGACAAGGTGAGTTCTTTCAGGATCTGTGTGTACAGTCTTTGTTTTTCATGGCTGTCTCCAAGACAGTACAATTCAATAAAAGTCAAACTACACTTTTGGTTTTCATATCCTCAATTGCTTGTGTGAATAAGCAAAGTATGTAGAAATGAATAAAACACTTGCCTCATCTTGGGGGATGTAAACATCTAGGAGTAGATGTAGTGCCACTGTGACAGTAAAGGTGAAGGCTTTAGATGGCTCACTTGGGCTCTAATGCTTTTCCACTTCTCTGTAACTTATATAAATTATGTCAAATTTCCAAATCTCTCTTTGCTGGCTTAAACTGTATACAAAATATTTACCTTACTGGATTATTGTGTTAACTTGGGAATATATGCAAAGCAACTAATAACAACACATTGACCAGCATTTTATAGGCATTCCATAAAATATAGAAAAATAGCAAATGCTGTTCTAATGCTCATTATATGCTAAACATTTCTTTTTTTAAATGCAGTACTGGAGGTGAAGGAAGGGCAAGGATAAGGGGAAAAATGAGAACCAAGACCTGTCATGTAAAGATACAAGATCCCAATGATGAATGTAACTGTACTGTATACCTAAAAAATACCAATAAACTCAATGAGGTAAAATAAATAAATAAATAAATAAATAAATAAATAAATAAATAAATGCCATACTGGGGATTGAACCTAGGGCCACTGCCCTGAGTTACATCCCCAGCCATTTTTATTTTGAGACAGAGTCCTGCTAAATTGCTAAGTTGCTCAGGCTGGGCTCAAACTTACTATCCTCCTGCCATAGCTTCCCAAAATGTTGGATTATAGGTTTATGCTACCACACCCAACTAAACATTCTTTTAAGCCTGGCAGTATTAGCTCCTTTGACAAACTCCACATGTAAACCTGATATGAAATACAGTCCAATGATACACAGTGAAAAGCAAGTGATGATTAATTCTGATTGGAGCTCCTAACCAGGCATGCACAGGAGTTGTTTTAAAAATTAAGCTATGATTTTCATAAAAGTTGAGGGAGTCCAGTTCTGAATGAACAGTGTGAGGAAAGTCATCAGGTAACGGAAAGTGAGGTGGGAAGGGAGAATAGCAAGGGTGATGTGACTAGATGAATTGGTGTGTTAAACCATTATGGATGAAGAATTTTCTGAAAAGGGAGGAAGACCATTCGGAAAGTTAAAGCAAAGACTGATCACCCTTAAATTCCAAGCTATAGGAACAAAATATATTCCATATAGGCCTGGAGCTTCTTATAAGGTAATTAGGATGCTGACCAGGAAATAGATCCCCAAGTACAACTGTCTTTAATTAATTTAACTGTTGTTGTTGTTGTTGTTTCTGTGGTACTGGGGATCGAACTCCTTTCTTTGCACTTGCAAGGCAGGTGGCAGAACCACTGAGCTAAATCCCCGGCCCTTAACTGTTGGAAAATATTCATTTGGCCCTTTAATTTAGGATTTCATTTGCTGTTTATTTGATACTGAAGGATGGTATATTTTATTTAAAAAGCAATGCTTACATTTATTGTGGGGAGTTGCTACATGTACAGTACATAACACATCTTAATTCTTCTTATTTCTCCTCTTCTCACCTTTCTCTACACCCCTCCATCTCTTGCTCCTGTTCTCAATTGGAAAAAAATTCTTTTACTTGTTTTGAAATGAAGGTGATTTTCTTTTTATTCTCATTGAGTTTATTGGTACTTTTAAAGTATATAGTACAGTTACATTTATCATTCGGATCTTGTATGTTTACATGACAGATCTTGGTTCTCATTTTTTCCCTATATCATGCCCTCCCTTCACCCCCCACCCTTCCATGTTTACAAAAACTTTGTTTCTGTTTTTTCTTTTCTCCTACTTTTTTTCCCCTTGTGTCTTTCCTTACCCTTCTCACTTCCCCTACACCTTTTGCCTTTTTCTTCCTATTTCATATGTCAGTTATACAATTTGGATCTTATTTACACCTTCAGTTTTTCACACCAGAGAAACTATTCAGTATTTACACATATGTGTCTTATTTATTTCACTTAAGAGTATGGCCTCAATATTCATCCATTTTCCTAAGAATGACTCTAGTTTCTCATTCTTTATGGCTGAGTAGTTCTCCGTTTTATAGAAAAACCACATCTTCTTTATCCAGTGTCCAACTGATGGGGAAATGGGTTGTTTCCAAGTTTTACTTATTATGAACTATACCACTATAAACATGGGTGTACGTGTATCACTCCGGTATGATTCTTTTGATTCTTTTGGAAAGATACCCAGGAGAGAGATAACTAGGTCAAATGGAATCTCTATTCCTAGTTCTTTGAGTATCTCCATATTGATTTCCACAGTGGTTGCACCAGTCTGCACTCCCATCAACAATGAAGAAGGGTTCTTTTTCTCCCCACAATCTGCCAATGTTTGTTATTGGTTGATATCTTAATAGCAGCCATTCTTTGTGGGGTGAGGTGGAATTTCAGTGTTGTTTTCATCTGCATCTCTCAAATGACCAATGATGTGGAACACTTTTTCATATACTTACTCGATGATTTCACTTCTTTGTCTGAGAAATGTCTGTTTGTTTTAATTGCCATTTTTGAATAGGGTCTTTATATTTGGGGGGGGTGAATTTTTTGACTTCTTTATATATTCTAGATAATAGTCCTTTGCCTGAGGAGTAGCTGGTAAAATTTTTTTTCCCACATGGTAGGTTGGTTTGTTTTATACTGGAGAAGCTTTTTAATAAGATGAGATCCCAGTTGTTGATTCTTTCTGCTAGTTCCTGTGCTACTGAGGATTTGTTCATAAAGTCTTTTCCTATTCCAATGTCTTCAAGAGTTCTGTCTAGCTTATCTTCCAGCAAGTTTAGTGTTTGTTTTTTAATATTTAGATCTTTAATCCACTTTGATTTTAGTTTGTGTGTGGTGAAAGATAAGGGTCTAGTTTTAATCTTCGGCAAGTTGAAATCCAATTTTTCCCAACACAATTTATTAAAGAGGCTATCTTTTCTCCACTTAGAATGGTTGACTCATTTGTCAAAAATAAGATAGCTGAATACATCTGGAGTTTCTTCTGTATCTTACAATCTATTCCACTGATCCTTAGGCCTTTTTCTTTGCCAGTGCCATGCTGTTTTTATCACAGTGGTATTTGTAGTATAGATTCAAATTGGGGATTGTGATACCCCTGCCATGTCTTGGTTGCCTAGAATAGCTTTTGCTATTCTAGGTCTCTTCTGGTTCTAAATGAATTTTTGGATTATTTTCTCTAGTTCTGTGAAATATACTGTTGGAATTTTAATTGGAATTGCATTGAATCTGTATAGCAGTTTTGGAAGAATGGTCATTTTCGTTATGTTGATTCTTCCTAACCAAGAGCACAGAATATCTTTCCATTTTCTTATGTCCTCTTCTATCTCTTTTTTCAGAGTGCTGAAGTTTTCAGTGAAGAGGTCTTTTTCTTCTTTCATTAGATTGATTCCTAGATACTTCATTTTTTTTTTTTGGATGCTATTGTGAAAGTAACTGTTTCCCTAATTTCTCTAAGTGAGTCTTTTATTTGTGTACAAGAAGGCTATTGATTTTTGAGTGTTGACCTTGTATCTAGCTACTCTACTGAATCTGTCAATTAAGTCTAAAAGCCTTTTGGCAGAGTTTTTTGGGTCTTCTATGTAGAGTATCATATCATCAGCAAATGGCTGCTTAGCTTCTTCCTTTCCTATCTTTATTGCTTTAATTTCTTTCTCATGTCTAATAGCTATGGCTAATGTTTCCAGGACTATATTGAACAGGAGTGGTGATAGTGGGTATCCATGTCTTGTTCCTGATTTTAACATGAGGGTTTTCAGTTTTTGGCCATTTAATATGATGTTGGCCATTGGTTTTTCATAGATAGCCTTTATCAAGTTGAGATAAAGACCATCTATTCCAATTTTCTGCAGGGTTTTTTTTTTTATCATGAATGAGTATTGAATTTTTGTCAAATGCTTTTTCTGCATCCATTGAGATGATCATATGTTTTTTGTACTTGACTCTCTTAAAATAGTGTATTACATTTATTGATATATGTATGTTGAACCATCCTTGCATCTCTAGAATAAATCCTACTTGGTCAGAATGTATGATATTTTTGATGACTCTCTATATTCTGTTTGCCAGTGTCTTATTAAGGA